TGGGGGGAACGGGGGATGGGCAGTGCTGGACATGGCGCCCTCGGGCCCGGCAGGCAGGCGGGCGGCTGCGCGGGCGCAGGGGGTACAGTTGGGGGTGGTTTCCACAGTAACCGGTGACTTTAGCTGATCTCTGGAGCACCAGATGGAGAGAGAACAATGGAATGAGGAAAGAAAGGAGAATTTCAGCAGTTCTGTCATTCCCTGGGCGGCGCGTTTTACTTAGTTTCAGTCAATTTTGGACCTGGCTCAGGAAGCCGGGAGGGGGAGGCAGAGAAAGCCGCTCCCTCTGTGCTTGGCAGTGGGTTCCCGTCCTGGGACCTGTGCACAGGCACCGAGGAGCCCCCTTCCAGCCGCCTCTGTCCCTAGCTCTACCCTGGAACCCAGTCCTCCTCCCCTGGGAACGGCCCCCACCGCAGTGCAGCTCGGCAGACCTGACAGGGGCCGGCCTGGGGCCAGGGCGCAGCTGGGGTCCTCCCTGTCCTCAGCCGGTAGGGATAGGGGGAGCTCACAGCAGAGCCAGCCTTTCCCCCAACCTCGAGGCAGGGGTGCAGGCTGGGGAAGGGCTCCCAGAAAACACCAGGGCATGAGCCTGCAGGGGAGGGAGGCTTTACCCAGATAGCACCCCATCAGCCCAGCAGCTCTCCACCGCCCACTGCAGGGGCTCGGCCTGGTCCCACATGGGCCTCCTGGTCCTAGGCGCCTTCAGGCAGTAAGGGCATGGCCAGTCAGGCAGGTCTCCTTTGTCTTTCTCTTTTTTGAGAGGTTTTTGCCTTAGGGTGCATGTGCTCACTGGGGAGAGACAGAGGCAGTGAGAGAGAGTAAGAAACCACTCCCCGCCTGGGGGTGGGGGGATGGCCACGCCATAATCCTTCTCCTCCTGGGATCTTGGGCACTCATGCACACACGCCCAGCATGAGTTTCAAGCCATTGGGTCCGGGACTCAAACTGCTGTTGGCCAGGTGGGAGTCCAGCGACGTAACCACTGCGCCGTCTGCTGGCGGTGTCCTCTGTCCAGCACAGCCCAGGGCCTGGGTCCTCTCAGCAACCCCAAGCCCTGCCTTTCCTGGTGCCCTCCATCGGCACCACCGGCCAGCGCCACTGGGCACCGCGGCTATGTACACACACACCCCACCCCCCGTGCCCCGTAAGCCACGTTGCTCAGAAGCCACCGGTGCCCTGCAGCTGCTGCACCTAGCTGGGAGACAGCTCAGACATCCCCAGGGTCACAGAAAATTCCAGATGCTCTCTAAGACCTCCTCGTTCTTTTTTTCTTTTTTTGGGGGGGAGGTTTTTGTATAGGGCGCATGCGCTCGCCAGACAGACACAGACAGACAGAAAGTGAGAAATCACCCCCTGGGGGGATGGCCACGCCGCAATCCCTTCTTCTCCATTCTCCTCTCGGGATCTTGGGCACGCACGCACACGCACCTGGCGTGAGTTTAAGCCACCGGGTCTGGAACTCGAACCACAGTTGACTACGTGGGAGTCCAGCGACATAGCCATTATGCTAACTGCTGGTCCCAAGGCCGCCTTGTTCTAACACCCAAGGTCCTGTCTCACAGCAGACAACACCCTGCAGTCCCAAGCCAGTACCTGAGGGACAGGTCCAGCCCGGAGGCATCATCTGTTTGACTGACAGTGTTTTAAATATCAGGAATTTTCTCCTGAAATTCTACCTGGGCTTTTGGCTTCCTTTTTTTTTTTTTTTTTTTTTTAAGTGGTTTTTGCCTTAGGGTGGGCATAGTTGCTGGAGAGAGAGACAGTGAGAGGGAAAGTGAGAAATCACCCCTGGGGGGATGGTCAAGCTGCAGGTCCTCTCTCCTGCACCGTCTTGAGCATGCACATACACCTGGTGTGAGTTTCAAGCCACTGGGTCTGAGCCTTGAACCAGTCAGCCATGTGGGAGTCCAGTGACATAACTGCTACTCCATCTGCTGGCCCCTCGGCTTCTTTCGAAAAGGCCTCAGAGGGGGCCAGCAGGTATGTGGTGGTTAAGGACGCTGAACTCCCACATGACCAACAGCGGTTCAAGTCCCAGCAGCTTGCTGTCTCTCTCTCTCTCTCTCTCTCTCTCACTCTGTCCCTCTCTGGTCAAATTAAAATAAATAAATTAAGTTAAATAATTCTTTTAAAATAAAAAAAGAAAGAAAGAAAAGGTGGCAGAGGGAGTGGCCCTGGCCCAGTGTAGCCGTCTGGGCCCAGGGCAGGGCGAGGGCATTGTGGCCACAGCAGACCTGCTTTGGTGGCTCTCAGGCCTGTAGGTAGGAGTGCTGACTCAGCAAGGCTCCTGCATTTGAGTCCCAGCTCTGTCTGCCCCAGCCCGGTACTGTGGGTACGGTGTGGCCTGGGGCAGGTCACCCACCCTCTCTGTGCCTCCTTTCCATGCGGGCTGAGGTAGGGGTGGAATGAGGCCGTAGCCAGTTGTGTTCAGTGCTTGGCTTGGCCCCTGCAGGTCAGAGTTGGTGACTCAGGGGCAAGGAGAGGCCCAAAGAAGTATTTTCGGGGACCCCCGTTTTGCCCCAAAGGTATCTCCAGGTGCACACAGGCGTAGTAGGTCACGCAGGAGGACCCCTGGGCTTGCTCTCAGCGGCAAGGTGGGCCTGAGCCTTTGATGGGAGGCATTGCCAAGCGACCCAGCCCCCCCACCTGGTGCGCTGTGCGCCCAGCCGCCAGGCCAGGTCTGGTCTATGGGAAGGCGGCGCCCCCTGCTGGCGACCTGAGGGAAGTGATTCCCACCCCGGGAGTCTCGGGTCCTTCCCGAGTCTGGGGCCCCGACGGTGGGGAGCTGAGCAGGGTGGGCTCCAGGGCCCCTCCCACGGGCCTGGCCCTGCTAGGGACCGAAGACATGTGGTTCCCCGCCCCCAGCCTTTCAGCCTGTGGGACCTTGGCTGGGGTGTACAGACGGGAATTTCTGCTTTTAATCCAAAGAGACAGAAAGAAAACTCAGCAAGAAGCTGGGCCACCCCCCTACACCCCACTCCCCAAACCCCTCTGGGTACAAAAGCCCCAGCCTGGCATCGTCCCCACCCTCCAGGACCCATACAAAAACCTAAACAATTGGAAACATGGCCAGATCCCAGGTCTGTGCCAGCCCCAGCCATGGGGGTCCCACCCGCTGGGCACGGTGCCCACGGGAAGGCCAGCTGGACTCCAGCTCTGGGGGTGGGGGGAGGCTGGGGGGCGGGATTCCCGCAGGAGGGATGGAGGCCGCGGGATGCCCTGCCTCCTCCTCGGGGAGGTGCGGCCGCCCTGGCTGGCCCCTGGAGGGCCTGTGGTCCCAGAGCCAGGTGGGAACGAGGCGGGGTCTCCCCAGCTCTGCTCCGTGTGCCCACACTGTCTGTTTTTGTCCCGTTTCAGTCCTGGTTCCTCTGATAAGATCGACAAAAGAAACAACAAAATGAAAAGAAGAGGTTCCTCAAAAGGGGGGAGAAGAAATTTTGAGACATGGAAAAAATCCCCCAGCCCAGCCCAGCCCAGCCCAGCCCAGCCCCACCGAAAAGCAAAAATTAGACGTCGTC